GTTGACTGTGGAAGAGATGCACGAAAGTCTTTTTGTAACCAACTGATACACTTTCTACAGCATGTAAAGGAGGATTGTGTTTTCTTTTTAAATAAAAAAAATATTTTAAAAAATCCCCATTCCCTCCCGATCAGTTGGGACTCAGGAGGCAGAGAATAGATGGGGTCGGGGCCAGTCACAGGCGGTATTTGCCAGTTCTTCAAACTACTCAAAATTTCTGCTACCAGTTTTCCAGAACTGATCAGAACCTGATGAATATCATCTCTGCTCCAACTATCATTCCTTTAAAGGCATTGCTTTTTTTTTTTTTACTATGGGGTCTACATTCTTATTCTAGGAAAGTTACATTCAAATACAACTGAAGGATTGAATTATCATGGAGACCTTAACAGTGGGTGAAAAATAGATTCAGAGAGCTGAAGATTCTAAATTGGGAAGACTCTAGTTTAAAAAGCTGCTATGAAGATAACCAGGCACCTCCCAGAATTTCTCAACAAACATTGTCACCTCTGGGAAATATTACTCTACCTATATAGAGGACACCCAGATTGGAGGAAAGTTACCTAAGCAAGCCATGTGCTTTCTCTTATCTTCTTCTAAATACATCTTCTCTACTTCATCTGCCACGCCAAGGGTATAACATTTTACAGAATGGTTATATGAGGATTGAGGTAGTCCTTGACTTACAATAATTCATTCAGTGAACAGTCAAAGTTACAATGGCACTGAAAAAGTGACTTTTGACTATTTTTCACACTTATAACTGTTGCAGCATCCCATGGTCATGTAATCAAAATTCAGATGATTGGCAACAGGTTCCTATTTATAATGGTTGCAGTGTCCCGGGGTCGAGTGATTCCATTTTGGGACCTTCTAACAAGCAATGTCAATGGGGAAGACAGATTCACTTAATAAGTGCGCTAATAACTTAACAACTGTATTGATTCCCTTAGCAACTATTCACTGTTTTCACTATTATTTCCTTTATTTGATTCACTATTTTCACTACTTTTATCTTTTCAACAGGAAGCCACAACTGTGAGTTCTTTAACTGGTTTTGGCTTTCATATATACTGAGTTCTACAAAGAACTAGGACCGTGATGGCAAAGCTATGCAGAGCCACTCTGTGGGCACATGTGCCATTTCCAGCTGCTCGTCTAGTTTCTGGCACGCACATGGACAATGGCCAGCTAGTCTTCGCAGGCACGGAGTGCTGGAAAAAGGCCTGAAAATGCCCAAAATCCTGGCCGTTTTTCAGGCCTTTTCTGGGCCTGTTCCGGGCCATTTTCCAGCTGTTTTTTAGGCTGTTTTCAAGCCATTTTCTGGGCTGTTTTTGACCAAATGGCCAAAAAAGCAGGCATGCGTGTGCCGACCAGCTAGTCTTTGTGTTTCCAGTGCTCCAGCACATTCACATGTACATACATGCACATGCGTTCCGGTTTGGGCACTTAGTGCTGAAAAGGTTCGGCATCACTGACCTAAGATATCATAATATATTGGCATAGTCCACTGATGGACTATGTCAGATTCCGTGTGTGCATGCACGGAAGCACGCATGCATACGTGCACCTCCAAAATACAATGTGAGTGCAGCCCCCTGTATGCGTCCCACCTCCCATGCATGCATCCCCCCCACATGTACCTTGCCTCCCCACGTATGCACGGCAGAGACCCAAAGACCAGCTTGTCAGTGGGAGGTGTGCGCATATGCACAGCAGAGCTGAGCTGGGGCAATACCTCGTGTGCCCACAGAGATGGTTCTGCATACCACCTCTGGTACGGGTGCCATAGGTTCACTATCACGGGCATAGTCTATGTGTGGATCCAACCAATGTGGCCTATGACAATTAAACAGATGGAAATTTTGTCCATGATCAGATTTTTTTACATATATCCAATATTTTTTAGTATGTCAGCCAGTATGCCGATAACCACTGAGATCACCCCTGCCAGTTTATGCCATAATCGTTCCACATTTACTTGTTTTTTCAATCTTTCATTACAATTTATTATAACATAAAGGATTATGAAAATTTAAAAATGGAGATAGGTTTAAAAAGAAAGGGAAAAACATTGATTTATGACTCTTTATTGTAGTGAAATATAAAATTTTTGCAGTATATTTATTTATGCTTGAGGCATTTCTGTAACTATACAATTATTCAATCCTCAATGTCTCATAAGTTTCATTCTTTTCTATTTCAAGCATAAAAAACCAGAAGTGATTTCCCAATGGAAATAAGACTGAGTAAAATCTTTTCTTTGTTTAAAACAGTTTACATTGCCATCCTAACCAAATCCATTTCCCCCCATCCTTTTTTTTCCATTGTGAGAAATAATACATCTTTCTATTTTCACTTATTAGATTTTCTGCCTTGTCATCATCTATAATAGCAAAAATCACAACACACTTTCAAGTTCTTTAACCAGCAATCCAAAGGGAAAACTTCTTGTTCCAATTTTATATTCATTTTGAAACTCTAAACATTTTTTTTAGAAATTATCATTTTACAGTTAAAGTTACTTCTAATACATTACTTTTTTTAAAAACCAGGATTTTTTTTCTTTTAGATTATAGTTTATTATTTCTCTTTTTAAAGAATTTTTTTATTTTTTTTAACCCTGTGTATATTAGTAAATAGGGACATGGTGGCTCATTGGCTAAGATGCTGAACTTGTTGATCAGAAAGGTCAGCAGTTCAGCAATTTGAATCCTTAGTGCTGCATAATTATTTGTCCCAGCTTCTGCCAACATAGCAGTTGGAAAGCACATAAAAAATGCAAGTAGAAAAATAGGGACCACCTTTGATGGGAAGGTAACATTGTTCCGTGCACCTTCGGTGTTTAGTCATGCTGGCCACATGACCACGGAGACAGCCAACAGCGCTGGCTCTTCAGCATTGAAACAGAGACGAGCACTGCCCCCTAGAGTCGGGAACGAGTAGCACATGCGTGTGAGGGGAACCTTTACCTTATATTAGTAAATATATTTGTTTTCCAAATTCAATTTCAATAACATTTTGCACACCTTAGTGATAATTTATTCATGTCCTTTTTACACCCATGTTTTATAAGTATAAAACAATTAGTCAAATCTTCCTTTTAATAATATTTGTTAGATCAGTAAAAGACAATTCTCTACTTCCATTTTGATTTTCAGATCTTAAGACTTTATGATATTTTCAAATTCTTTGTCTTCTATCCTATTATCCCCCGATTTTGCTGCATAAATTACCCACACTTTCTGCTTTTTAGTCACAGTTAAATATAGTGTGTTATGGACCAAAAATTTATCAATTTGTATTTAGGAATCCAACAATATTTTAACCTGCTTTCAGTTACATTTTTGACTATATTTTCTACCACCTTTTCATTACTGACATATGTTAGTTTATACAGATGACTTTGGCAACTATATTGTATCTTTGTTTATAATCAGTTTGTGTGATTTTCTTACGTGAGATGAGATGATTTATTTTTTCTGCAACTTTGCACAATCTATACTGGAATCAATGGATAATTTGTCAAATGTGGTCTTGATTGCATTAATTCTAACAGCTTGCTTTTGCATAGCCAAAATCAAACCTTCAGTTTCTTTTTTTAATGTTCTAATTGTAACTAAGAGTGCAGTTGTAAGAATGCAGAGAAGAGCAACAAGAATGATCAGGAGGCTGGAGGCTAAAATATATGAAAAACGGTAACAGACTGGGTATGTCTAGTGTAATGAAAAGAAGGAGTAGAAAGACATGACTCCATGTTCCAATAGTGGCTCCTACAAAGATGAGGAGGCAAAGTATTTTACAAAGCACCAAAAGGCAAGACAATACACAATGGATGGAACCATTGTTCTACCAAGGAGAGAAGCAACTAGAACTAAGAAGAAAATTCCTAATGGTTACAGCAATCAACCAATGGAATAGCTTGCATTAAGAAATTGTGGGTGCTCTATCACTGGAGACTTTCAAAAAGAGACTATTTGTCTGAAATGGTATAGAGTCTCTCCTACTTAAGCAAAAGGCTTGACTAGAAGACCTCCAAGGTCCCTTCCAACTCTATTATTCTAAGTTACTTGCAGGATTTATCATTATCCACCTTCTGCTTGATTTGGTTGCTTCAAAATCACTGAAAATGGCAATAAAAAATAATAAAATCACTCTGGTAGATACTTCTTCTAATGTTAACAAGCTCGTATTTTTCATTTCCAACCATCAATTCTTCCTTTCATTGATTCAGTATTTCTTCTGTAAACATTCCAATGTTTTTACAGAGACCAGTTGTTTCCAACTTTTGATGATCCAAATATAAGATAATAAATCAAAAACTTTTTTAATCAATCCAAAGGATATATACATTGGTTTTTCAGCATTTGCAATTTTCCAAAACAGTTTTATCAACTAGAAGTTGATATTTTATACCTCTGCTTTTCATTTGAAATCCTTTCTGTTCTATTGGAAAGATCTTATTTTCTTCTAAATAATCTTGGATGTTATCTACTGTTATGCCTCTAAGTAATTTAAGCATTTTAGGCAAGCATGTTTTTGGATTCATGGTGTCCCTTTTACTGAACTTTTTAGAATCAGATATGTTTTGCCAGTTATTATCCTGTCACTGATGTCTCCTCTATGCAATATTTCATTAAGTTGTTTAGCTATAATTGAATATAAGCTAGTCAGACATTTGAGCCAAAAACTATGCAATTGATCATTTTTAGGATATGCCCAGTTATTAATCCTTTTCACATGATTTTTAACACTTTCTGCAGCTATTATTAGGTTTTCCATTTAATTTTTTACTTAATTCATTTTATTGTTATTAAGTTTCAAGTTTAGATTATACAGCACCAAATTTTATCAATTTGCCTATATGAAGAAATACAAAAGAGGTACAAACAACTCAGGGTGTGTTTCTCGCCCAACCGAACCGGTTGGAACGGGGCCGGCAGCATCCTCGTGCACGTGCGCAGTGCACGCATGCATACTAGCGCCTGTGCGATGCTCCAGCTGCTCCTGGAGGATCGCGCAGGCGCTGTATGCGTTCTGCGCATGCGTGGAAGCGCAGAACTCGTCAAAATCGGGTAAGAACCGTGGGCGGGCGGGTGGATCCTTTGGCGTTCCTGGAAGTTACTTACTTCCAGGTTCGCCGACCAACCGGTTCGCGGGGACCGCCGCAAACCGCCTGAAACCCACCCCTGAAACAACTCCTTCCCTAAACTGGTTATCAATATATTCAGGATCCATTCAATTAATGCCACCATGTTTCATAATTAGGATATAATCTTCAGAATCGTTTACCCACAAAGTCAATGTTGCCACATTAATACAGTCAATGTTCATTCCTACACTTAGGACACAATATTATTTACACTTCTGCATCCTCTACTTGTAATATCAAATAGTGAGTTGTAGATGTAAATGGAAAGCCACAGAGCAAAGGTCACAAATATACAAATATAAGTTCTATCTTTCCGCACACAGACTCAATTTAAATGTGCAACAATATTCGTCTATCCACTCATTTATGAAACACAGAGCAGTTTAGGGTAGAAAAAGCAGACAAGGCATACATATTCATCTGGCTTCATTCCTATACTGATTTCATCAAGACAATTTTCTCATTCATGTTAATGAAAATAATTCACAGTTTGCAAAGGAATGTTTTCTTGATGTCTAAGGATAGAGCCTACAATATACTTACTACTAGTGGAAAACTGCTTGCTTCTAAAATTAGAAACTGATAATTTGATTTCCTACCTAATTAAAATGGTAAAGGCTCCCTTGAGTTGAACTCAATTTATTGTGATTTTTTTGGATATATCCAAGGAATTTCCCTGGCAGCAATGTGGAAATGATTTGCCAATGCATTCTTCCAGACTTCTACAGAATTACATTCTACAGTCCTGGACCGTCCTGATAATCTCCTGCTCAAAATGCCAAGTTCTCTTTGTTTTGACCTCTCTTTAGCTGTTTGTAGGATCAGCCAAGATTGTCTCAATGGTGCCACCTGCTGTAGTCCTGCTCAAAGGATACTATAAAGGTAATCTTAGACATTTCAAATTCTAGAGGGTTGAAACAGAAGAAATCTATTTTTCTTTAAAGTTCTTCTTTAAATCATATTAAAAAATTGGTAAATTGTTAATTATCCAACTTTATGAGTAAGATGTAAAGACGTAAAATCTCTGTTGAATCTGGGTTACCTCCAAATGGGAGGGGATTATATCTCTCAAGATTCCCAGTCATGTGGCTGGAAAATTTGGTACAGATCTTTTTAAACTAGGGAGTCAGTGCATTTTTGGGAAAGACTGAACTAGCCTGAACTCTGATCTTGAAGTGGCTTGTAACTGAACACCAGATCCAGCAGCTCATTACTATGTCTTCCTGTAAAAAATTTCCTACTTAGCTGCAAAACAGTGTTATGGAGTTTTCTGCCTTTACTGAAGTCATTATCAATCCAAACTTCACTAGAGCAAAGAGGTGTGTGGATCCATGGGTGATTCCTCCACAAGTTCATAGCTACACTAGTAGAGCTCAGTGAAAAGATAGGAATTGCTGGATTAGCATTTATTGTGTTGCTGTCACTAAAATTCACAATTATCAGAGCACTCATGACATTATCTGGCACTCTAGGCAAAAGATGAAGATTGTGTGTATAAGGTGCACGCCCACTATTTATTCTCTATTAACCACCACCACCACCCAAAAAACCCACCTCCGCTATTTTAATCTATGGGACTCCCCTTAACAACAGAGTCGCTACTTTTCTGCTCGGCGTTCAATCCCATTGAATTCAACGATGCAGAATGCCAATTATGCAGATCTGCATTCTCCATCGCCACGAACATTTGGAAATCTGTCTAACAAGGGAGTTGTTTCTGGGGAAAATCTGTGGAGCTGTGTGCGTTGCATGGTCAGAGTCAATAGTGACTATGAGAATAACGACTTCATTGTCATTTCCTTGAGGATGGAGCCACGTCTAGGATGGAGCTGTGGGGGAAATTAAGTGTCGGCTCGGAACCGATCTAAATTCGGATGTCCTGGGGCTCACTTATGTTACGGCTTGCCTGGATAAATCGCAACGTCCGACATCCATCCTCCTGCTGCTGCAGTTTCCAAGAGAAAACAAGCAAGGCAATTGTTGCGCCCATCAAACAGGACCGCTACTTACGCATTCGGTGCAGGGCTGTAAAAATCCAGCGCGTACCCGAAGTAACTACCATCTGGACCACTGTAGACGACGCGCTTCTCTTCGTCCAGGTTGAAGGCACTTAGCGGCCCCGCCAGCAACAAAAGCAGCGAGAGGACAGCGATGTCGCTTGCCGCGCAGCGCCTGCACCAAGCGGACGAAGTCGGCAGCGATGGCAACCTACGCCGCCGCCTCCACATCCTCCTGGCAGCGGCTCCCTCGTTTCGTTTCTTTCTCTCTCCTGAGACTCAAGCAGGGAACCAGAATTGGAAACCGCCGCCGCTTGAAGCTTCGCAGGGCTACCTCTGGCCGCAGCCGCCGTCCCACCGTCTCGCTTTGCGTGCGCGCCGCCCGCCGGGCAAAAACTTGGCGAGGGAGGCGCAAAGCCATTCGCTTCCAAAGTTCGAGCTAGCCGCGCTTCTCTGAAGGAATCAGGCTGTTTGTTGTGCCGCCCCCTGGTGTTGTTCCTGCGGGCGACATTCTGGGAACGGCGCAAGAACCCGAGGGGCAGATCCGCTTTAAATTGAGAGGGAGGAAGCCAGGCGGCGGATTTGTGGGTTCCGTGTCCGTTGCGTCTGGTCGTGGCTTTTGCAAAGGCGTTTTTTCAGCCTTCTGCCTGCATCCTCTCCAACCGCACAACGCACTGCAAATCCAACACCCATAATTGAATTTGCAGTGTGTTAGGAGGGCTTAAACGGGCTGGTATAAAGGGTTGGGGGCAATTATCTCCATCCCATTTTTCCCCCTGCAGACAACAAAACAGGCATTCACCAAATATACAAAGGCAAGGTATAAGTCATAATATTTTTTTAAATCTTAATTTGTTGACAAAGGCACAATTGCCTAGATTAACATAATATTCCCTAGACAAGGGAAACAATAAACCATCTTTGCACAGTATGAATGACTCCAATCAAAATATTGTGAATGTGAATATTCACATTTATACCTTAGCATCTTCTCCTGATTGAAGTTACAACTGTCCTGGAAAAAATGACTTGCAACTGGTCTCCCATTGCAGCATCCCCTAAAGTCACTTGATCAAAATTGGGGAATTTGGCAACAGGTGTTTATTTATGACAGTTGCAGCGTCCCAAGGTCATGTGATCACCATTTCTGACCTTTAGTAGGCTTCTGAAAAGCAAAGTCAATGTTGGAAGCTGGATTCACTTAATGACTGCATGATTCACTTAACAAATGCAGTGTTTTGTTGTTTTATTATGAGCCTGTTCCTCCCATTGTCCCATTCTGTGCTCATCCCTTTCATCTCAATCTCTCATAGGTGTCATGTTCAGTGATAAGATCTGAAGTTAGACCTTAGAAATGAAAGTCTCAGAGTAATGGAAAATCTTCTTAGAGAATCTTCATCTGGAAAGTTGAAGTGACTATGAATAGATTTCCATTCAAATTGTCTCACGTAGTAGAGGATAGGGTAAATACTGGAATATTCTCTTGCACATGAGAACTTTTCAGGTTTAGACTTAACAAGCAGCAGGATTCTAGTCTAATCCTGCTTGTAAATGAAATTCTCTATTTTCCACCTTCCTGTTACAGTTTAGTGAAAATTAATGGAACATGAACCGTCTACTTTCATCCACATCAGCTTCTGTCTCATCAGAATTACAGGATTCTGCAATTCTGATGAGACAAAACTAAAAAAGGGAGAAAAACTGAGTAAATAAACTTAGCAAGAAAGTTGAAGACCATGTACAGAGCATTCAGTATATGAACAATTGAATGTGCTTACTGAAAGCAGAATAACTTGGCCACAGCCAGCAACTACAAAAAAGATTGAATTTATTTCAAAGGTTAAGTGTCCTGCCCTGAGCTGTCATCACCAACTTGTAAGGGCTCACTGTATTTTACTCCGAGAATCTCCCTTCAACTGCAGCGTTAGCTGATAGCCTGATACATAATCAACTTCCTGGAGCAGAAGGAAGAGAGTCACAGATCCTTCTTTAATTCAAAACTGGATAGGTGATTCGCACAACTGAAACAAAGTCAAACGCAACACAGCATCTTCATCTCAATTACAATTGTTCACTTTTTTAAATAGTGGGAATAAAAAGGGCTGCTTTGTTTAAAACTCATGATGAAAATTAAAACAAAAAGAAAAACTGCATGCTTAGTTCAACAAAAGAATTGGAGAAAAGACAATTATGAGGTTATGCGATAACCATCTTGGAATATTTGATAGGCTGTTAAGATAAGGTGGAAAACATTTCCAGTTTCAGAAAGTTCAATCCAAAGGAACTTACTCAAAATATAAGAAAAAAGATCAGACTAAACAGGGGAGTCCTGGTGGGTATTAGCTGTTCAAGAGAGAACAGGCTGCCTATAATGTAGTTGAACACCATTTCATGAGTTTTTAATGGAAAGGTTGGGCACTCTATGGAAGATATAATTAATGAATCTTCTTTTGCACGATCTTTCTCTTCCAAATATTTTACGCTAAATCTATTTATTTGTGACATTTTTAGATTGCCTAGCAACAGCAGTATTCTGAACAATGTGTACAAAGAAGCAAACATATAAAACCACAATATAATTATAATGAATGCATGAAATAAAACTGGCAGGGTGGAGTAAAAACAATGCAGTGTATAAAAAAAATAAACTAAAATATTAAAACATTGTCAAATGTCTAAAACATAATACTTCTTAAAATGCCTTGGGCCATGTGTGCATACACCAATATGTATGTATGTATGTATGTATGTATGTATGTATGTATGTATGTATTTTTTATTTTATTTAGTTTGTCAAACATGTAAAAGATAACAGGTATAAGTATAAACATAAATATGGACACAGTAAATGGGTACGAATAAATGGAGACAGTAGGACAGGGATGGTAGGCATGCAGATGCACTTATGCACGCCCCTTACAGACCTCTTAGGAATGGGGTGAGGTCAACAGTAGACAGTCTTAGATTAAAATTATGGGTATTTGGGGATGTAACAACATAGTCAGGTAGAACATTCCAGGAATCGACCATAGGTGGCACAGTTCTAGATTGTCGAAGCCCAAAATTTCAAGCCTGATGGCATAGGGTATTCTGTTGTGAGTAGAGAAGTGGGGTACTCTTCTCGTGAAATACTTCTAGACTCTCTCAATTGTATTAATATCCAATATACAATGCCGATTCCAGGCAGACAAGCTGTATTCAAAAATTGGTCTAGCAAAGGTCTTGTATGCTCTGGTTTGCATACAAAAAAAAAGGAAAGCAGTTTTCCTTTAACACTGAGAATATAATAAAATAAACAGATGTTGAGAGATGGTGTATGAATATGAGGATAGATAAGCTTTCAGGTAAGTTGTTCCTAATGTTTAGTGTTCTAAATAAATGATTTAATGAGAAGAAAAATCAATATTTTTCTTTAAATATTTCAAGATCACATTACTGTATTTCTTGTCCAAGTCAGGATATTTATCACCACACTGGAAACTATCAATCTGAATTTAAAATCCTCTGTTTAAAAATATTGTTTATTCTCATCTTTAATCTGACTCTCAACTGACATAATGGAAAGATTGATCAATATGAATCAAAATGGGTAAGATTTCTTTGGTTTTTCAAAAGTTGGTTCAATTTTTCATATAAATTGTGATACGCATGGCTTTTCATTGGTTTTGGTCTTTTTCTGTCTTTGAACATATAAATATTTGCTTTGTAACTTGTCACCTTTTCTAATTTTTCTTTTTTAAATTATAGTAACAAAAATATTAGTCTTCTTTTATAGGACTAAGAAATAGATTGTCAACCAAAGCAGATGCCAAAGATTTCCCCTTTTTTCTTCTCTGAGAATACTTAAATTGTTTAAAGGATTTATTTTCAATATTGAGGCAAAGTAGCACACTATCAAGAAAGAACTCACAAATGGTGAGACCAAAGCTATATCTGGTTTTTTTTATGTTCATCATACACACAATGCTCATAAAAATAGGGTGAGCTTAGATTGCATCATTGTGACTGCCATTTTTACTTTTCTGATCATACCCTGAAGACAATCCTTCAGCTCGCCTAGCTTACCCTTGGCTGACTGCCCCAACTTCTGCGAAATAGTTTTCTTATAAATTTTTCCCTTGGGATTTAATTGAAAGAAAAAAGATAGTTGCAAAATCCAAGGTAGCACATTTGGTTCCACCACAAAACCGCGGTAGACTAAAGCGCGTGTGACTAAAGCGCGTGTGACTAAAGCGCGGTGCCAAAACCACACCGTCAAAACCGCGCGACAACAGCGCGCCGACAACAGCGCGCCGACAGAAGCGCAATTTAACTTAACGTAAGGTTTAGGGTTAGGGTTAGGGTTAGGTTTAGGGTTAGGTTTAGAGTTAGGTTTAGGGTTAGGTTTAGGTAGGTTTAGGGTAGGTTTAGCGTTAGGTTTAGCGTTAGGTTTAGGGTTAGGTTTAGGTAGGTTTAGGGTAGGTTTAGCGTTAGGTTTAGCGTTAGGTTTAGGGTTAGGTTTAGGTAGGTTTAGGGTAGGTTTAGCGTTAGGTTTA